CCCCCTGATGCTGACAGAACCCTCCCTGTTCCAGGAGGCGTTTTTTGGGAAGGCGCTGATGGACCTGAGCCGGAAGGCGCTGCTGGCAGCGGGCGGGGTGGGGGACGGGGCCGCCCGCCCCTCCCTGGGCCAGAGCGCCCCAAGGCCCAAGGGGGACCCCAACCTGGCTGGAGCACTGCAGGGAGCCCCCCTGGACAGGAGGGAGACCCCCACCCACCCCCGAGGTGAGTGTGGCCAGGAGTACAAACCAGAGCCGGGATTCAGGGGTGACCTCGGGGGGGTTGAGGGGTGACCCTGGGGGAGGTTGGGGGGTCCTGGCTCCCCTCCTCTGAGTCCTGGTGCCCTGCAGGGGATGACAGCACTGATGGCAGCGCCGCCGCTCCCGACGACGATGGCAAGGACGACGCGAAGGCCGAGGACCTGGGTGAGCCCCTGGGACGCCCGCGGGACCCCTGGACAGCCGAGTCCTCCAAGGGAGGCTGGAGCCCCACAACCTTCCAGAGGGAACTCCATGGCTGAGGGGATCCGCTCTAGGCAGGGGGTTCCTGAACTCTATGGTTCCCCCATGTGACTCCCGTGGCGCTGCTGACCATAGAGTGGCGCCCTAGAGCGCCCCCGCGTGGCGCGGGGTCCTTGGAGGACCGAGGAACTGCAGTCCCTTTTTGGGGTCTGGGGGTGATGGGTTCACACGGGGGTCCCCAGCCCTGAGCTTGGGGTCCCCAGAGGCTGAAGGCACTTCCCGGTTCCTCCTCGCAGGGGCCGATGAGCCAAAGGATTCCCCAGACCCTGGGGATGCTGAGAAACCAGCCACCCCGGGCGAGGGAGCGCTGAGCTCTGACCTGGACAAGATCCCCACGGAAGGTGAGACCACCCTCACCCCCTGAAGCGAGCGCGATACCAGGAACCCCAGATTTCTGCTCCGCTTCCTGCCAGTGTGGGATTTACACCCTGGGATGGCTCAGCCTTTTCCCTTTTGCCCCTGCAGAGCTGCCCAAGATGGAGAGCAAGGACGTGCAGCAGCTCTTCAAGGATGTGTTGGGCTCGGCGGAGCGGGGGGAGCAGCCCCTCAACTGCGTGGCCGGGGGGATGGAGGCCGGGCAGGACCCCGGCCGGGCACAGCGCCCCTTCCTGCAGGGAGACCTCCAGCTCTCAGGGCAGGGTGGGTGGAACTGGCAGGGCCCCCGGGGGCTGGGGGGGTCCTGGACAGTGGGGAGAAGAGCAGGACTCTCTGCCAACCCCCCAGAAAGCCAAAGTGCTGGGGCTGAGCTGCTCAGAGAGCTGCACAGTGCCTGGGCTCCTGGGTGTTCCCCATTGCTCTGGGGGTGAACGTGGGAAGCATTTTGGGGGATGCTGTATTGTCTGGGGGCTGCTGGGACCCCCAGGGCAGGCACAGGCTTGAGTCCCAGCCCCGCCCTCCCTCCAAACCGTCTCCTTTCCCTCACAGGGAGCGTTTCCCTGGGCTCGCTCTCTGGATCCGTCTCCCTGGACTCGTATTCGGGGGTCTGCCAGTCCCCGTTCCTCGATAGCAGGTACGTGGGGGAGCTGGGGGTGGTCTCCTTGGAGGGATTGAACCCTGGGGTGTTGTGGGATCCCTTCTTCCCTCACACTCTGATGGTCCTTGACACTACCCCTTCCATGCAGGGAGCGGAGCGGCTTCTTCAGCCCAGACCACTGCGAGCCTGAGAGCCCCTGGGCCAGCAGCTCGGCCGCCACCACCCCCTCGACCCCCACAACGCCCACCACAGAGGGGGAGGGCGATGGCCTGTCCTACAACCAGCGCAGCCTCCAGCGCTGGGAGAAGGACGAGGAGCTGGGCGAGCTCTCCACCATCTCCCCTGTCCTCTACGCCAACATGAACTTCCCCAACCTCAAGCAGGATTATCCAGGTAGGGCTCTGGGGGAGCTGCAACCGCCCTGTTGGGGTGAGGGTGGGGGGGTCTGAGTGCAACATGGAGGGGAGATCCCATCTGCTCTGGCACTGAAGTGTTCCCTACAGCAACACGGAGGGGGTCTTTTTATCAGCTCCTGGGCGTGGGGCTGTCCTCACACGAGAGGGGACAACGTCACCCACCCAAAGGGGTGGGTGGGCTCATCAGGTCCGGGCTAAGGTTGTTTTTGTCCCCTCCATCTGCTCGTACCGGACTCCCAGACTGGTCGAGCCGCTGCAAGCAGATCATGAAGCTCTGGAGGAAGGTCCCTGCCACGGACAAAGCCCCGTATTTGGTGAGTGCCGGGGGGGTCAGCGGGGTGGGGGGGCCGGGGCGCCGGGGGCTGCGAGTCAGCTGGCTTCGTGTCTTTGTTAGCAAAAGGCCAAAGATAACCGGGCGGCTCATCGCATCAACAAGGTGCAGAAGGTACGTCAGGCGCGGGGAGGTGCCCGGTGGCCCCGGCCCAGCCCTTGGGGGGATGGGGTGTGCCCACCCCAGCCCCGTGCCCGGCCTGCAGGGAGGGCAGGAGGGGGTCCCACAGCCCTGACGGGCCGGCTCTCTCCGCAGCAGGCCGAGAGCCAGATCAACAAGCAGACCAAAGGGGAGGGACTGCGCAAGCCGGAGAGGCCCTCGCTGCACCTGCGGATCCCGGTGCCGCCGGGGGCACAGCCCGTCTACATCAGCAGCCCCCCCGCCGCCGGAGAGGGCTTCCTGAAGCCCCCGGCGGGCGCAGGAGCGGGGCCGGAGTCTCCCAGCGAGCTTTTCCTCAAGCTCCCGCCCCAGTCCCCCGCCCAAGTGCCTTCGCACGACCCTTACGGCGCCTACGCACTGGAGCCCCGCTTCCCCTCGCCCCTGGGCCAGAGCCCCACGGCGGGCGCTGCCTTCCAGCCCTTCCCTGGCCAGCCCCAGCCCCTCACCGCCCCCCGCGCCCCCCACGACTTCCACCCCACGCCCCCCGGAACCCCCCGGCACCAGCCCGGCACCCCAGACCCTTTCCTGAAGCCCCGGTGCCCCTCCTTGGACAACCTCTCGATGCCAGGGAGCCCCGGGGCGCGGCCCCCCGAGGCCCTGCTCTCTCCCCTGCCTTTCGGGGAGCAGAAGAAGGGTCTGGAGGTGAAGAAGGAGGAAGGGGGGAGCCTGGGGGTCTGCTCGCCCGGCTACGCTTCTGCCATGGGCTACGGGGACTCCTCGGGCGGCCCCCACCTCTCGGCTGGGGAGCTGAAGGCAGCCGACGTCTTCAAAGCCCCCATGACCCCACGGGTCTCTCAGGTAGAGCCACAGAGCCCGGGGCTGGGGCACCGGCCCCCCGACCCCCACCCCTTGGCCCCTTCGCCCCCCGGCCACCCCGATCTCTACCGCCAGTCCCCCTACCTGGACCCCTACTCGCAGCCTCCGCTGACGCCCCGGCTGCAGCCCCCCGAGGCCTGCTGCCCCCTCCCGCCCCGCTCCCTGCCCTCTGAACCCTTCTCCCGCGTCCCTGCCAGCCCCCAGTCCCAGTCCAGCTCCCAGTCCC